TCTGAAGTGTATTTTGTCAGATATTGGATTGGTGATACTTGCTTGTTTTCTGGTTCTATTTTCCTGGAATTCCTTTCTCCATCCTTTCACTGTAAGGTAGTGTCTGTATTTGAAGGTGAGATATTTCCTGTACATAGATCCTGTTTTCTAATCCAATCTGCTAATCTGTGTCTTTTGATTGGGAAATCAGGACCATTAACACGAGTTATGACTAAAAGGTGTGCATTTATTCCTGTCATTTTGAAGTGTTTTTTTCTTTACCTTCCCATCCCCTTTGCTTAACAAGTGCCACAATGAAACTTTTATCTCTGTAGCCTCTTGGATGTGTTTTATATCCTTCTGCTTAGTTCAAATTATTCCTTCCACTGTTCTCTGCTTGTATGGTTTGGGCATCATAAATTCCTTTAGTAAGCTTTTATCATAGAAAATTTCTCCTTTTGTTTTGCAAGGTATAATAGTCCAGTTGGCATGTCTGATCGTTCAGAACTTGAAATATAAATGCTCCAAGTCTAAAGTTTCCAGATCAGAAGCCATACTATCTCAGGATCCATGAAGAACTCATCTCCAGGTCTTTTAAAGTTTCAGTTGGAAATTCAGTTGTGGTTTTAATGGGGCTATCTTTATATATGACGTGTTTCTTCTCTCTTGCTCCTTTCAAATACTTTCTTTTTTCTGTATATTTAACATTCTAACTATAATATTATATGAGCAATTTCTTTTATGACCTGTCTATTTGAGATTCTGTATGCCTCTAATACTGATACCTCTTACCCTAGATTTGGAATTTTTTAAATTTTATTGAAAATACTTTCTATGTCTTTAGTATGGAATTCTTCTTATCTATATAATTTAAAGATTTTGCCTTTTCATGGTTTCTGAAAGATCTCACATGTTCATTTTATGGGTTTAAAAGTTTGTTTTTTTTGATTCAATCCCTTTATCTTGTCTTGAAACGCCAACATTCTGTCCTCATGATCCATTCTATTGGTGAGGCTTTCCCCTGAGTTGTTTTTTTTTTTAATTTGACTTACTGAGTCTTGATATCGTTTCATTTCAGTTTGGGTTTTCTTCATTGTTTTCTCTTTATTGAATTCCATTTTCATGTCTTGAGTGATCATCCTTATTTCATTCCTCTATTTGTTTATGTTCTCTTGGAATTCATTGAGGAGTCTATTCCTGTTCTCTTTAACTTCATCCAGTAGTTTATCTGTAACTCTCTGAAGTCTTTGAACACATTTATGATGGTTCATTTGAATTCTTTGTTTGGAGGTTCACCTAAGTTCCCCTTTGAGGGACAATTACTATGGTATTGGTGGTTTGGGGAGGATAAATGGCTTAGTTTCTCATGCTGCTTGTATTTTGTGGACACTTGCACATCTGAGGCTAGCACATTGTTTATGGATTTTGGTGTGAGTTTATAACCCACTTGTGTTGAACGGGGTTTGAATCTCTGCTAGCTGTTACCCTGGCTTGGCTGTTTTGGGATTATCTAAGTACTACTTAAAGTTTAGCCTTGGGAAGTATACATGTGCTTGTGCGTGCATGTGTGTGTGTATGTGTGTGTGTGCATGTGTGTGTGTATGTGATGTGCACCTGAGATCTCTTTTGGAAAAAATTTAGCATTCAATACAATATTACGAATTATAGTCATTTGCATTTATTAGATCTGTAGACTTAAATGTCCAACTATGGCTTTGAGCTCTCATATACATAGAGGCCCTCATCTCTCCCCTCTCCTTGTCCCTGGTAATCCAAATTCCACTCCTATTTCTGTATACTAACATGTCCCACTTCTGGACCTTACTAATATTACAAGTTCTCCCACTGCTATGACCCTTAGTTCCCTTATCTATAAAATGAACAAAGGAGATCAATGGGAAGGTCGTGTGGGTTAACATATGTGCCTGACAGTGAGTGTGGGAACTGTGGCACGGAATCATCATAAAATAGAAACCTGGTTCCCCTTTCCCCAAGCTATGTTTCTAGGAAGGCTTGCCAGTTGCTTCATGAAGCAGCCATCCTGTGATTTTGGCGAGAGTTGTTATGGCAACTGTATTTTTAAGTCACTAACTTGGCAATGAATACAACAACATTGGAACTGTGCAACAATGCTGAAAGTTAGGGACAGCACAGAAAAGAAGAGAAGGGCAGGAAGGACACACAGTAGGTGCAGAAGCACAGACTAAGGGCAGACATTTGGGTGAACTTCTCTGAGGGGATGTGAACCCCCGAAAGGACGCCAACAACAGATCCAAGACTAGCTTAGTAGACCAGTGAATTTATATGGGGTATTTACAGGATCACGGGCGACTCAAAGGCAGCTTTGTCATGAGAAAGCCCCTTCCAGAACAGATGACAGCTCATGAGAGCTGCATCTTCGAGCTTTCTGTTCAGCTTGTGGGTGGCTTGGCTGACTGGAGAGCCCCATCTCCTGGGCAGTTGTTACACTGTGTGTAACCTTGGCGTGGGCTTTATGAGTCTCATATATTTAAGGAGCTTCCTGAGAATAAGCTTCCTTAACCCCCTGAGACTTGTGGATATTCCTCTTTCGTCTAGCAGGAAATATTTCCGTTTGAGAAAATTCAACACAGGACTATTGTATGTGTCTGTGTGGGAACGAGAGAATTCTTATGTTAGGTACAGAATGAGAGATTTGATCCTGGAATGGGCACCGCTCTATGGTTCTGGTTGCCAAAACCATCTGACCCTGTTGCCATCCTTTGGAAGGACTCTGCTTTGCCTGGGGTTGGACCAGAGGTCCTCTCTGTCTTCTCATTTCTTCTCTGTTCTTCCTCACTTGTCCCGCCTACATATGCTCTCTGTGGAGAGTTCCTGGGATAGACATGGCCCCAACCTCTTCCCATAAGTCTCCAGTGACTCCAGCACTGCGTCCCTTTTCTTTGTCCGTCGCTCCTAGACATGGGGAGAAGTCAGAGTGATAGCCTCATGCTACTCACACCTGAGTGGATGGAATAGCAGCTTACACAGGAGGACAGGAGCGCCCATTTCTGGGCTTACTAAGGCTGAAGCTGTCGCCATTGCTAACCAAATTAAGGTCCTGTCTCACAGCACCCTCTGTCGGCCTTGCCACGCATTGCCCAGAGGCGTCTGTGCTTTGGTTTGTGCCCCAGAAGTTAACCTTAACCTTAACACTTTCCATAACCTCTTGTATTCTGGATCTGGGTTAGAGCTGACCAATGGGAGGAGTTACCTGAGACTCGAGGGCGGATGGAAGGGGAAGAATGCCCTCCCCTGTCTGTTTAGATGGGCGTCCCGTCCTTCCAGACTGACCTTTCCAAGCTGAATCCAGCTTTTACTGGCCTCCGGTGCCCTTTTCCTTCCCTTGTCTTACGTCGTAGGTGAAGAAGTAGCGCTGTTGTCTGCTGCTGGTCTCTGGGGGCCACATCCCTTTGTGGGCCCCTTGTCCCCACCCCTCTGATACAAATGACACTTCCATCATGTAAACCAGTGGAGTTGAAGTTACTTGTTATCAAGACACTGTTGGATGCAGGAAGAAAGTAATGGCGGTGAGGATACAGACCTCGGTGGGTTTGGTTTTCTGAGACAGCAAAGACGCAGGTTGATGAGACGGCAGGAAACAGGAATAAGCTACGGGTTACCGGAGCATGGAATCAAGCCCTGAAGTGGAGGTGGGGCTCAGGGATCCGAACAGGGTCCTCGCCTCTGGTATGTGCTGGTGCTGGTGCTGGAAGTTGTAGATGTTAACATCAGTCTGTCACCATGGCTTTGCAAAGATCGTCATCTTTCTTTGGGAATGTCACATAAACACTCAGTTAAACATTCGCCAGTGCTCTCCCTCTTTCTACTGTGGGATGAAGAGTCGAGCATGTGGTTTCCTTCCTCCCTCTCTGTAACAGCACTGCAGAGCTACTGGCCTGTAGTGTACAGGTTTTTAATGGGGAGAACGCTTTTTGATTTTCCTTTCTTTCTTTCTTTCTTTCTTTCTTTCTTTCTTTCTTTCTTTCTTTCTTTCTTTCCTTCCTTCCTCCCTCCCTCCCTCCCTCCCTCCCTCCTTCCTTCCTTCCTTCCTTCGTTCCTTCCTTCCTTTCTTTTTTTAGACAGGGTTTCTCTGTAGCTTTGGGGTCTGTCCTGGAACTAGCTCTTGTAGACCAGGCTGACCTCGAACTCACAGATATCCGCCTGCCTCTGCCTCCCAAGTGCTGGGATTAAAGGCATGCACCACCACCGCCTGGCAAAAGTTTTTTTCTTAAGACCTGTGATCTGCAGAAAGTGTGGGCTGCAGCTTGGGTGAGTGTGTGCATTTCCATCCATATGGCTCCCTCTTCAAGGGTTTCAATTTGTATCAAAGTGACAGACTTGAAAGAAGGGGTGGCAGGGATGTTACAAGAAATGACAGTGTGGCCAATTAAAATCTTGGTCCTTAAGGCTTCATTTAGCTAGTGTCCCAAGTTACGTGTTATAACAAACAAGGTTTGAACTCAAGAGACATGACTCAATTCTCATTCTTCACAAGAATGCACAATAAAGTGATTAAACACAGAATTAGAAAATATTATATACATGCTGGGCGGTAGAGACACACACCTTTAGTCCTAGCGCACTTGGGAGGCAGAGGCAGGCAGATCTCTGAATTTGAGGCCAGCCTGGTCTACAAAGTGAGTTCCAGGACAGACTCCAAAGCTACACAGAGAAACACTGTCTTGGAAAACAAAAACTAAAAACACACAAAAAAGGAAGAAAATATCACATACACACAGTTGCGTGCGCACGCGCACACACACACACAATTAGCAAACACTGATCAGTTGCTCATAAGGAAAGCGTGGGGCCATAGAACTGAGGCCACTGGTCACATTTTGTCAGCTGGTCACCATCTAATCTTCTAAATGCATGCCTCCATTTAAACATACTTTATTTAACATGTTCTTGAGTCCTTGACATTGAGTTCATGCCAACACCTCTATAATAAAGTCTTTCTAACATATCCATTTTCTACATAAGATGGGATTGTAGCCTTTTTGTACCTGGGAACATAGAAATCACTTAAGCATCACTTTGGGGCTCTATAAACAAGGCATGACCTAAACAGGCTTTGAAAGCATATGTAGCATATGAGTCTTATATGTGTAAGGAGCCTCCCAAGAATTATAGGTTGATTATAAGTATAATTACTGAAGCCCATGCTGCCTGCTACCACAGAAACTGGTGAGCAGAGACAGGAGCAGAACAGAGAGAGAGAAAGAGAGAGAGAGAGAGAGAGAGAGAGAGAGAGAGAGAGAGAGAGAGAGAGAGAGAGAGAGAGATCTACCTTCCTTGTTCCACCTCAGTACCTCAGTTAGCATAATTTATTTTCAAGACAGGGTTTCTCTGTATAACAGCTCTGGCTGTTCTGGCTTAGGTTGGTCTTGAACTTACAGAGATCCATCTGCCTCTGGCTCCCGAGTACTGGGGTTAAAGGCATGCACCACCACACTGTGGAATGTAAATTTCTTTCCCATCCTGAACCAACAATGTTTACAGCTGAAGGCGGCAGAGTCTCAGCTTCTTCAACCTCTACTGGGAACACGTGTGTTGAATCAGTCAAAAGTCACTGTTTTGTGCATCTATACCAGTATCATGAGCACTGATTTGGGGGCTACAAATAGATTTTAGTTTGTAAACAAATTCACAAACATGCAATCCACAACAACGAGATTATACATATACATATTATATATCATAACAACTCATGAGGATACAAATACTTAATATTTTCAACTATATGTAGGAAAGAGAATGTATGTTAAAATAAATATTAATAAAAACGCGCCATGGAGAAATGATTATTTACAAGAACTGGATGCTATTCTTTGAACGTCTTCTGGATGGAGTTGGGTACCATGAGCTTCCAGCAGCTACCTGCAAGGAAGCCCCATGTACAACCCACACTCTGTCTCTTGACCTGATGCCTATACCATAAGCCTTCCAGAATGGGGATTTAATCCCCTTTTAATGAACAAGCAAAGAAATCTAGGGATGTACACGAGGTTCAACATATTCTAGAACCTGCCACCAAGGTATGCCAGGTCCTTTGGACTGAGGCTTAGGCAGTTACTGAACATTGCTTATCGGCACAGGCTTTAGCTTTAGTGAGAATTAACTGTGTACCATTTATACACAATTTCCTTCTTTGGAATTCAGATCCACCAAAGAAAGAAGCTGAATTTTATGTCCTCAAGGCATTTCCTGGTCTGGTAGTCTACCCATGTGTGTGTGTGTGTGTGTGTGTGTGTGTGTGTGTGTGTGTGTACGCGCGCGCGCTCGTCTTGTGTGTGTGTGTTCTTGAGGCCAAGGGAGTATATGGTTGGATGCAGAGGATGTGTTTTGGAGCCACCATTTCTGAGTAGAAACAGAACTTGTGTTAAGATTTCCAATCACCTCCCACACGTCACATTCTTCCTTGTAATGCCTGGAATTGTTTGTCATGCCTGAGGGCCTGAGGCATTTTTTGATTCTTCCAATTTTAGAAGTAACTTATTTTAAATGTTGGATGCCTAACAGAAACCTGTAACAGCGCCAGTGTATAATCATCTTTTATCTTATTGTGGCCAAGAAAACGGATCTGTTTTACTAATGATATTAACTTTTCAGTGTGAAATAGTAGGAGTGTGTATTTATCTTAACATGTTACAAAGTATCATAAGCTTGTCTTTAATTAATGTTGAGAAGAGTGAACACAAATGCAATTAACTTAGTGCAAAACAAGGGGACACATAGGGCAATGGTTCTCTGCTAATTTACACTCAAGAAAACACTTCTGTGAGAACACAGATGTAAGGCCAGTAGCTGGTATGAGACGACCCTGTTCTAAGCACGCCTTTGGAGATTCCCTCTTGTCTCAGGCTTGAGTGATTTAGATGGCTATCACTTCATTTACATCTAGACATCTAAATGTAGTGACAGTTCATTTGTATTTTGATAAATAAAGTTCGCCTGAGGATCAGAAAAGTAAAACAGCCACACTGGTCAGCCTTACAGACAAGATAGCAATGATGCTTGCCTTTAATCCCAGTAGCCACACTAGCTTGCCATAGAAATCAGGCCATAGTGGTTCATGCCCTTACTCCCAGAACTAGAAAGGATTATAAAATGGGAGGAGACAGCTCTCAGTCTCAGTCTCATTCTGAGATTCCTGGAGGCAGAATCACCATTCTCGGACTGAGACAGCGGCTGACTGCTTTGCTTTTCTGACCTTCAGGTTGAACCCCAGTTTCTGTTTCTGAGTTTTTATTAATCATGCTTCATATAAACACAGCATAAAACATTGGCAGGGAACCCTTTCAACACCGTGATTATACTTCTGTACGTTAACTATTTCATATGAGAACCGCACACCCTTTCTCCACTGGAATATTACATATACACATTGATAATTACAGAAGTGTTTTCCAGCTGAATCCAAACAAAAGGAGGACTGTATGTTCGAATGTAAGAAGGAGGTGAAGCCTGTCGACACACTCAAAGGATACAGGGTCTACTGGAGAGATTGGAGGTTTATCATGGAAGCCTGCCGTGCCTATGCCCTTGAAGGAACAGAGGTTCTTCAGGGTTGAGGACGGTCTTCCTTGGTAACTGAGTGTGCAGTTAAGGGAGGGATGGCTGTGAAGGAGGAAGGAGACACTCCTAGGCAGGCAGGTCAACCTCACCAACCCTACTGTCTGCAATGACACAATACAAATGAGTTCAGGCCTGGGGTCCACCCATGCTATGTTGGGAAGACGGTCAGTGCTTCCAAGACCACAGGGACGCTGAGAGTATGGGCATTGGCTGCATCCTCTTGATTGTACCCTGGGGCAGGTGGACCTCTATGCCCCACTCGAGATACGCTGCTTTAAAATGAGTTCAGTAGTCTCGGGTCCAATGATCAGGGATGAAAATGTGAAGCTGTTCCTCTATTAAAAAAAGATCCACAGTGAATGGCATTTCCAGACCCTAATGAGCTATTCAGTATCACATTCTTAACCAGGGTAGAGCTGGAAATCATACACACCGTGGCTTCAGTGGGCTTTTCTAATGACCTGTTTTTATCATTCCCATTTCATTAACGTGGAGGCACACAGAGAAGAGTCCTGGAGTTAGGACTTTCACACAGATCTTCGGCTCTCAACCAAAGCTCCTTTTATACAACAGAGCATGTTCTAGAGAATCATCCACATTGTAGCAAACAGATTCTATTCATTGCCACTGGCAGCTTCTGTCTCTTTCCATGTCCTCTTCTTCCATGACCCCAAAGCCTTGTACTTCTTGGCACTGAAGTATCAGGAACTGGATGCATGTCTTGTGTTGGAATTTCCCATCTTTGCCCTATAGGCTGATGGAATTTGACACATCAGTGGTAAAGACATTTCCCCCCTTTGAAATTACACCATTGTAGGTAAGTACAGAATATCCAGGAGAGAGCTGGAGCTGGGTGGGGAAGGTGAATATGATGTCTGGACTTTCTTACCGTGAGACCGTGGGCTCCATACTGATGGAGTCACCCTTACATTTCTGCTGGGTCTAAGTACTTTGTTCTGTTGCCTTTTGACAGTTCTGTGCGGATGGGATACAGATGAGAGAATACGGAGCACGACTCTGGCTAATCATCTGTGACCTCTTTCAAGTGCTCTAGATGGATGGATAGCTAGATAAATGGATAGATAGAGCATGGTAGCGCCAAACAGATGCTACCATTTGCGGGGAGGGGTGGTAACTGTTTTCTGCGCATAGCAGGTAGTCAGCAAACGTCAGCTCCTGTCCTTGAATAATCTCTTGTTGTGGTTTGCACACAGAAGGCATTCGGTCCTTGTCGCTTGCTGCCATTTGTGTCTTGTCTCTCAAGGTGTTACACAGGTATCAGTTGTGCCGTATGTTAGGACATAGGAGCATCCAGATACATTTGGGCAGGAGAGCATGAATACTGTTGTCTTTCCTCATGTAGCTCGTGAGTGGGTTGATGGTGTGTGATACACTGAGTACCGAATTTGTTTTCCCTTGGGCATCACCAGCAGGCTACTTCAGCCTGATACAATCCACCTCTTCTGTGGCCGGCACCCCACTGGTTTTGAGGTCAAGGTCAGCGCTGGACTTGCTGCCGCCGTAGGGAGAGGGCCGCCAGTGCAGCAGCAGCATCTTCTTGAAGTACTTCATGGTGTTGTTCTTGACCGTCACGAAGCACACGGTGTTGATCATGCTGTTGCTCATGGCTATGCACTCAACGACGTAGAAGGCGGTGAGGTAGTGCTTCTCCTTCACGAACACAGTGGGGAAGAAGTCTCGCACGATGGTAAAGCCATAGAAAGGCGCCCAGCACAGCACATAGGCCGTGAGGATGCCCATGAGTAGCAGCACGGTCTTGCGGCGGCAGCGCAACCGCTTGCGGATCTGCTCCGTCTGGAAGCCAGGTACGGCTTTGAACCAAAGCTCCTGGGAGATCCTGGCATAGCACAGGGTCATGGTGACAACCGGGCCCACGAACTCAAGGCCAAAGACGAAGAGGAAATAGGATTTGTAGTAGAGCTGCTGGTCCACCGGCCAGATCTGGCCACAGAAGGTCTTTTCCTGGTTCTTGACAACAACGAGGATGGTTTCGGTGGTGAAGTAGGCAGATGGGATGGCGATAAGGATGGAGACCATCCAGACCAAAGCAATCAGGAACCAGGCGGTCTGATAATTCATCCGCGGCTTCAAGGGGTGGACAATGGCCAGGTATCTGGAGGCAGAGGGAAGCCAGCAGTATGGTTATACTTGGAAGCATGAGTGATTTTTCTTAATCAGTCCAGAGCATACACAAAAGCCCGGGAACAGCACAATGAATCCCCAGTCGCCCGCTACCTAGGTTTAAAGAGTACTGGATCATTGACAGCCCCACTTGGTAGTTAGAGTGGGGATTCAACGGAAAGAGCAGACAGGTCAGATCAACCTGGCTTTTCTCCCTTGCGTGGCATAAGGATCTGGGAATTCCCTGTCCCTCTGAGATTTGTTTCCCTACATACAACCTGAGACAAATGGTACTTACCCTGCGGGATGTCTGTGAACATTAAACATGCTAAGGATGTACTTGTGTGAATATCTTTCAGTAGCTGCATGTGCTCATCTGCTCGTGGAACGATTATACCCTTTGAGTTTTCAATCTTGCTGTTCAGCCCACAAGGTACTCTTAAAGTTTTTATTCAGAATACCTCACGATTTAAGCTGAAAGAAGACTTCAGAGTGAGGTGTGGACACTGCCTGGGCTTTCTCCCTCTCCCGGTTGGCGTCAGCCTGCATTACGGAGGCAGTGAGATTGAGGACTCTAGTGAGAAATAAGCCCTAGGCCCAGGTTCATGGCTGGCAGATACCGGAATCGAGCCACCTGATACAATACTTTCACGCCCCCTTCCCCACGCCGTTTCACACTCAAGAGAAAGTACATAATGAAGACACTTCACTGTGGTACCTTGAAGCTTTACCCTTGTCCTTTTCAAACAGTCACTGCTCAAGAAACACAAGCCAGAATCTACCGTGGAAAACGAGCTTGCCTGTGTGGGTTGCTTCTCTCCCGTCTGAGAGAGGGCATGGTAGCTATTTAGATATTTGGGTCCTGGAATAATTTCTGTGCATTATGTGGGTCAGGGGCAGGAAGGTGGAGGAAGAGAAGAGGCGTGAGAGATGTAGGTAAGAGAGACTATCCTGGAAGCCAGTGCGCGGGCCAAGAGCAGGAAGCCACCTGTAGACAATTCTGTCTGATTAACCTTTTCTTTCTGACCAGACCCTTTGACCACCTTTCCAACCCCTCTGCCGTGTTACTGCACGTTGTCCCTTATGGCATTTCTGCCATCTTGTCCCATTCTGCCCCTGCTTGCTGGTGGCTCTCCAGCTAATTCCATACTAGAAGCGTCTGAATACTGAGGAGAAAGTTGGACCCACCCCAACCACAGGCGGGGTGAGGGCACTCCTGGCTGGGTGTTACCACAGCAAGTGCTGGAGCTCTCCACCCATCTGTGGGATCAGGCTAGGAGGACAAGCATCACAGGGCTGGAGAGGCAAACAGATAGGCATCCACCACTTGGCAGGGGCAGGAATATCTCACAGCCGGGCATTCATTATTCTGTGTACTGTGCTGATCCAAAGTCTTTAGAGACTTTGTAAAACAAATCCAGGACTTACTAGTTCTCTCAGTCTGGTCCTTGTTGACATCAAGGACGTCAGAAAGAAAAGAGCACTGGCTTAGGGGTGTTAGGAGGCCAGTTTCTAAGCTGTGCACTCGGGTAAATAACTTAGGCTTCTGAGATTTAATCTCTGTATCTGTGAAGTGGGGATAACAATGCCTTAACTGACAATCTATCAGGATTTTTGTCAGCTTCCAAGAAAGTAAACATTCATAATGTATGATGAGTTTAGTACATTGCTTATCCTGATTATTTCTCCTGACTCATTTGTTGGCAAGAGAAACAGCTACAGGGTCTCTGTTGCCAACTATCTGCTTATCTGCTAGAGAGAGGAGAGAGAGAGAGAGAGAGAGAGAGAGAGAGAGAGAGAGAGAGAGAGAGAGAACTCAAGTTCTTTTCTGAGGTCAATAGATTCCTTTAACTCCCTACAACTAGAGATAGCACCTCCTCTTCATGAGCATAGTCTCTGGGCTCAGTTTCCAAAGGCAGCACGGGCTGGCCCTTCTGGTATCTCTAGAGAGCAGAACGGGGATATCTGAGCAGACAGGAAGTGCACCGGGAGGCTGGGGTTTCTGTGTTGCCACTTCCTGTTGTTGCTTTTGTGTCCTATTGTGCCAGGCATTGTGAGGGTGCACTTTTGGAGGTCAGAAGTTTGACATGGCTCTCACAATGTGAACTCAGGGGCTGGCGGGTAGCATTCCTTTTGAGGGGCACCCTTAGGAGAGAAACTGTGTGAAAGGAGGGCAGAGGTTCATGGGTCTCTTCCAACTCTCAACAAACTTAAGCTGTTTCTCTCTCTGAGGTGAATGAAATACCATTCCAGGAAAAATTACCCAACCTAAATTTGGCACCATCAGGGGAAGATAGGGTGTCTGATGCACCTTTCAATTAGTTTAGCATCTGATGATGGGAGAAGGGAGCTATCCTAAGGGATCTCTTGTCCTAAGGCCTAAGGTCCCACGTGCTGTCTTTCCATCTTCGACCCTTACTCCCTACCCATGACCTCCTTTGTGCTTGTCCTGTGTGCTCCTGCCCACGACACTTCCTTTTCATCTAGCTCCTCGACCAGCCAGGGCAGGTAGAGACTTCCTGAGAGAGCTAAGTCTAGATTTAGGGGTGCACGCCTGTTATTCCAGTGCCCAGGAGTTTAAGACATGAGAATCAGAGTTCAAAGTCATTCTAAACGACACAGGTGAGATGCTTGTCTCTCTTGAGAAACTAGCATTCATAAATCAGTGGATCTTTATTATTCTTAATGTTTGATAATTCCTAGTTTTTAAAATGGAAAAAAAAAACTTCTTGAGTTCAAGAGCCACGTCTTGTACTGCTTGTATTTCCAAGTATGTAGCCTGGGGACAGAGGAGCCCCAAATCTTGCTATGGCTATGGCAGATGCTGCCAGCTCTTCCTCCATATGCTTCTGTCTTTCCCCTTCGGTAGATACCTGCCTGTAGCCCCTCCCACCTTTACCACTTCGCTACGTCCTTCCTCGTATCCCTATGCTCTTACCACCTCGGTATATCCCTTCATTCCTCTGGGCTTTGCTGCTTCAGCATGGTTGTGCATCCCTGCGTGCCTACACCTGTCTTTTTGTTTGTTTATCTGTAGGAGGGTTTTCTCTGACTTCCAGAGTCCTCTCGGCTACCCGTGCTGTATTTTCAGAGATGCGATGACTTGTAAGAGCCCTGTATAAACACCCCAGCTCCCTCCTCCTGCTCCTGAGAGAACTCTGAGCTGGGATCCACACCTACTCCAAGGGTTCCTCAGCAGGAATCCCCCACGGAAGCTTTAGCAATGTGTCTGCTGCCCTCACTTCTCATTCCCCTCTCAGTATTTTCTGGTTCATCTACACATGGATCCCTGTGTCAGAGGGTTTAGGGAATAAACACAAACTAAGATATCTTAGTAAGTTATCTTAGTTGGACACAGAAAGACCAAAGACATGATGGTTGCTCTTAAAATGTATCTTTGGGACCAGGTGGTGGTGGTTCAGGACTTTAATCCCATCACTCAGGAGGCAGAGGCAGGCTAATCTCTGTGAGTTCAAGGTCAACCTGTTCTACAGAGTGAGTTCTAGGCTAGCCAAGGCTACACAGAGAAACCCTGTCTCAAAAAAATAATATATATCTTTTTTTGGGAAGGACATCTATATCTGTATCTATATACACAATATGAATTGGAAGGTCAGGCTAGCATAGCCCACAATGCTAGCTCAGGATTTATATCCCATGACTGTTGTGGGATATTTGTACACTGTGTCGAGATACCGCTGTGATTGGTTTAATAAAGAGTTGAATGGACAATAGCTAAGCAGGAGGTATAGAGGAAGTAGGAGGAGATAACTGAGGTTCAGGAAGAAGCCAGCAAGAGATGGGGGGTGGGAAAACGGACATATAGAATGAACGAAAGGTAAAAGTTGTGAGGCAAAACGCAGATTGATATAAATGGGTTAATTTAAGTTATAAGAGCTAGTGGACAAACCTCAGGTAAGGTTTAGTTTTCATAATTAATACTAAGTCTCTGTGTTGTTGTTTGTAAGCTGGTGGCCCAGAGAAAAGTCTGTCTACACTGTGACACTGTGACTTGCGGAGATTTCATAGGCACAGGAAAATCTTAGGAAGAGCCAGCAACAGCGAGGTTCAGATGCTTCACACGGATGGACACAGATTTCAGGGAGCAGTCGGAGGCTCCTGGGGAATGACAGACCAGTCAGCAGAGCGCCAGTGTCCATCGTGACTTGACAAGTGGCAAAGCTGGAGGACGCGGACTGGACTTAGAGCTGAGCATCTAAGTGTGGGGCCAGTGGCTGAGGGACAGGAAGAAAGGCAGGGATGACAGTCGCTTCCCTGCTTGGGTCACTGGGAGTGGTGGCACAGCGGGGGAGGTTGTGTGGGGAAGGGGTGGCTGGGGCTGAGATGGAACCTCTGTTGCCTGTACCAGGATGACTGCTTTCTAAGCAGTTCTAGCATCATAGACCCTAAGAGAAAGCAAAGGCGGACGTCAGGTCACGACACAGAGCTTGCAAGAGGGCGAGGGGTGAGGACAGCAATCACTCTCACTTCAGCAAGCATGAGAGTCATTCATGAAAATGAATAAAAATGCAGATTTTTGCAACTCCCAGCTCAAGAGATTCCCATTCAGGAGACTTGGGTGGGCGGGGTTCAGGAACTAGACGCAATAGCTGTAGCAAATGGTAATCTGGTGATTTTCCTGAGGAACCTGGTGCAGCTGGCTGGTGAGTGTGTGCCTCACAAACTGCCTTATGAGCTGCAGGGCCTCAGAGCTAGGTGATAAAGGTGCTTTCCTACAGGTATCTTGCTATAAAAAGGAAGAAGTGTCTTGTTTCTGTGTCTTTTGTTAATATTACGGAAAAATAACTAACTGGCATATTAAAAAGCACTAAACAGCCCCGAGAACAAGGGAGGAACTCAAGAGCTGAAGGAGACAAAAGGGAAGGCCATAAGCACTTCATCAGAACGCATTTCAGAACAGCTCAAAAGGGGGAACTCATCAAAGGTCCCCTCCTTCCACCCCGCCACTGGGGACAATGCTGACCTGAAACACGAAACATGCAGGATATCTCATTAGCCACTGTGACAAATCTTACCTATAAATTCATAATAGAGCAAGGACTTCTAGAAGGTCTCATGCAAATGTATGTAAATAAGCATACAGACACATGCAAAACAGCCAAAGCAAACACGCCCTTCCCTCTTTCCTGTAAGCAAACTCTGCTATCTTATTTTCAAACCAGCTCTGCAGCGAAGTCACCAGAAGGCGTGCGACATGCTGCGCGATCCCGATGAGGTGATGAAAGAACAGACAGATTCGAGCTGTGATGGCAGAAGGGATGCCTGAGACCGGCAGCGGAAACTATCAGGGGCCATGGAATCGTTTATATCTGGATCCAGTTGTATGAGAAACGTGGTACCCTTGTCTTAACTGGAAGCTGCCATACTTAATATCCCATGGCTTTTGAGTAGTTGCTGCCTGGATTTTCTGCTTTTTGCCTTTGTGTTGGACTGCCTACATCTGAAGCAGACAGTATCTCAGGTCATGACCAGAACTATGGAACTCAGAAGCTTCCCGCTTGCTCGAACGTTAGTGAACAGAACACAGCTGGAGAAAAGTCCCCTCTAGCCCCTCAACAAATCATTGAGGAGCCGCATGGGGAGCGATGCCAGCCCGTGAACCCGGAAGTGAGGCTCACCTGTCAATAGCGATGGCCAGCAGGGCATTGGTGGAGACATACAGCGAGACCGTACGCAGGTAGTTGACAGAGGCGCAAAGCACGTGGCCGTGCTCCCAGGAAAGCTGACGTACCACGTAATAGTCCATCTCAAAGGGGCAGCAGACGATCGCCACCAGGAAGTCCGAGATGGCCAAGTTAGCAATGAGGAGGTTGGTAAGGTTGCGTAGCTTCTTGTAGCGGGCGAGGGCAGCAATGAAGACAAAGTTGCCGATGCCACAAACTAGCATGATGCCTGCCAGTGCCACGCCAATGACAATCTTGGCCGCGAAGAAGGTCTGTGTCTTGGTCATGTCCTCATCCTCATCCAGGGGGAGGTCGTAATCACCGTAACTGAAGTTGAAGGGGAGGGAGGAGGCATGGTCTTGAGGCGGATTCAAGCCAGGTGCAAAGCTTACGGTTCTGTTCTGGGCGGCCATGTTGTTCCCTGCAGGAGGGGTGTTATCAGGGAGGTGTGTCCACGTGGAGTTCAGCACTTCCAGCTGTGTGTGTGTGTGGGGGGGGGTGTCAGGGAGCGCGGTTTCCTGCTGGAATCCTAGAGGAGAATTGATACCATCCAGAATCTGGCGGGGGAGGGGAGATATAACAAATATGGACAGCAAACATCAGATCTGACAGTATCCCCTCCCCCCCCAGAATTCCCTAGGACAGTCCATCTAGACCCATCCAGGGGTAGGGAGATGGGAGACCCTCTGCCTGCTGGCCACAGAATGAACTGGACTCTCCATAGAAACCCAAGGGGTATGGGCACCCTTGCCCTTCTCCCAGCAGACAGTGCTGTTTTGACTGTTGTTACTCTCAACCCCTTATCAGACAACGGCATAAAGCAGGGGCTGGAGAGGAATCCGTTGGTGGGTGGGGCCCAGGCCACACAACTGCCATGGCAGGCAGCAGGGGGTTCCAGGAAAAGCCATAAGCTGACGTCATCCAGGGAGGGCCAGCATCTAAAGGGGAGTGAGTACCCGACACTTCAACCATTAGATAAGGTCACCAGATGTCCCTGAGCCCAAGACTCCTCTACTCCCCTTTTGCCAAGACCCCTAGACAAATGTCAGTCAATCAGGGTACTGAACCCTGGAAATCCTCTCATCCCAACTTCTACTATGATAAAAACTCTATCCCGACTGGTCTGGGCACTGCTCCCAATTGCTGTATCGGACAGATGGAGGATCCAAGCTGAAGCTTGGATAAAGGTTCTTTGCTTTTACATAGAGTGTGGACTCCGTGGTGGTTTTTGGGGGACCCTGCGATCTGGGCATAACAGCTTTTCTCTTCTTGCCTGTTCTTTGCCTTGGGGTTCTAGAAGGCCAGTCTTTCAAACTGTCTCTTAAAACGTGGGGGTTGCAAAAAATTGGGCAACAGTAAATGGTTTCTGAATGACCAAAAATCAGCTCAAAGAACAAAATTAAACAGGCAGAGGATCTAAGCTGTTCCTGGCATCCTTCAACCACGTCGAATCAGGGGACCTCGTTATAGCCTTGTTTCTAAGCATGCACGTTCACTTTGCCCTGCGTGCTGTCTCGTGTTTCAGTGCCAGTGGACAGGGCCTGAAATGCCTTGCCTCAGATCCAGACCGTGCTATGAAGTACACTTCTACATTTATTGTACACCAGGCTTTCTGATCTCATAGAAACATAACGGTTTAGTTATGGAAAACCAAGACTTTGAGCATCACCATTTCCTAGTATGTAAGCATCAAACTGGTGTGTCTTTTTGTTTGTTTTATTTTTGAGGCAGGGTCATGCCACTTAGGCTGACCTTAAACTCCTGATCCTTTTGTCCCAGTCTTCCAAGCACTGGGACTATAGATACACACGGCTGCATACGGCTACTAGCTAGTAGCTTGGGTTTATTGTGCTAAAACATTTTCGATTTAAAAAATTTCTGTGTGAGGAGCTGTGTGATGGCTTAGTTAGTCATGGTGCTTGCTGCTCCTGCAGAGGGATCTCTTGAACAAGACTAGAGTTCAGAGTTCAGGTCCCTGCACTAACACTGGGCTGTAAAAACTGTAATTCTAGCTGCCTTTTCTGATACCCTTTTCTGGCCTCAGAGGGTACTCAGCACACACATACACATGCACACAGATTTAATAAGAATTTAAAAGTTGCTGTTTGAGCTGATGACTAGAGTCTTTAAAAAAATCATTAAATGAAATCTGGCTTGGAATTCAGACAAAATTTTCATCAGTTTCTTAACTGGCCTTGAAACACTTCTTCCATGTGTACCACAAGTTTACATGAAGCGACATTCCCGGCATCAATGACTACAAAATCCAAGTATCATTCACCTCTGAAAAACGTTGAGGATGCTACATCGAATATTCAGCCAAGATTTAATTCTTTATGTAAAAATAAGCAATCCATCTCATTAGTATACAAATTTGCTTTCCTCATTAATAAATGGTAAAATTATATGCACATCAAAGAATTGTTTTAAAATACATTACTGATTTATTATCAGTAAATGTCTGATTTATATGCCTACTTTATATGCTTATAAACCCAGGGACACCTAAGACATTCTCTGGTGATTGAGGGCCTCCCGGATGGAAAAACCCGCTCTAGAATAAGCAATTTCTCCCCAAGTTGACCCCGCTCCTCTGGATCTGCTCCTGGACCTCTTCCCTAGGCTCCCAGCTTCCCATCCTCAGCCAACCTCGACTTGAGGGACTGAATCTTGTCAGCATCTGTGTCCTCTGAAGTGGTGCTGCTCCGAGACCAGACTGATCTGGAAACAGGATTCTAAGCATGGGTGGGGACGATCAGGGACTCTAGGGACTGTCCTTGTTACCTGAGAGCTCCTTTATATTCTTGGTGTCTTCAGATGTCCACAGGAGGGGAAAAAATGAAGTTTGGAAAATGCTAGCCCTCAGGAGGTGACTGCTAAAGGGGAAGGGGGTCCCTGAGTGTGGGGAGGGGCCCCCAACCTAACTTGGTCTGTTTCATCATCCGTGAACCACCTCCCGCTCACACCTCAGCACATCTGCGAGTGTGGCAGCTGCGAGAAGGGAGAGCAAGAAGCAATCAAACTGGATAGCGAGATCTCTTCAGCCTTGTGAGGGCAGGGAGAGCGTGGGGAGCCCAGACACAGCAGCCACAAGATGTGTGGGTGGGGGGGAGTGCTAGTGAAACCCCAACGTGCTACATACTTATAAGGTGTGCGCGCCACCCCACTTCACAGCTGGGGTTCCGGCAGAGTCTGCACCCCAGTGTCCTCCCTCTGGGTTGTCTATTGGTTTTGCACAGGCGGACACTGGGGATAGATAAGTGGGAGTCCTTGCTGGCTTCTCAGAACCGGCCCGCCCGCCGGTCCCTTGTCTCCCATTTGCCTCGACACCAAAAGGCGCGGCACTGGTCTGGGGTTAGGAATCCAGTGGGAAATTCAAGCCCAAGAAGCAAAGCTGGCCACAAGGTTGTCTGCGGGGCTTGGGAACGACCCGGACACCTCCGCCTTTCTCGGCTCGCCTGCTGCCCGCCTCCCTGGTTCGCGAGCTATGTATGCCCTAGTCCCCAACCCCAGTGTCCCAAGGCCGGGAGGAATCTCCTGGAAGCGACGCTCAGTGCCCCGAGTCCGCCCGCTGCCACCCGGCACTTACCTGCCACGGTGCCTCCAGGGGCGCACTCCAGTCCTGTGTCAGGGCGGTAGGTGGGCGCGGCCAGGGCTCTGGGGACCCTGGCTAGTGCTGGCCAAGGTGCGCGTGCTTGGTGGGCGTGTATTGTTCTGTTCTGCCCTCCTCGGTGCGCTTCTGCGCGTCTGTCTGGAGTTGCTGCTTCGCTCTACAGCTCATCATCCTACAGCCTGGGAGCCAGCCCTGGTGGCCCGCCCCTTTGGGCGACCGACTCCGCCCCGTGGACCCCGCCTGCCACCCAGTCAGGCTAAAAGAGGGTCTCAGACTACAGGGCCCTCAATAGGCTTTCTAAGCTCTTGAACCCGGTGGGACCTCCACAGCCGGGCATCCACAGCATCTCAGAGACTTGAGCAGTGTCCTCTGCAAGCAGCCGTGGTTCCCAGGGCCAGCGTTCTTGCCCTTCGCAAGCCAGGGGTAAAGCCGTGTCTTCTCTCAGAGGTGGTGCAGGGGAGGCCCCCATACTGGAATCCAGACCTTACGAGGTAAATGGTGGTGGCGGCGGTGGCGGCATGGCTTGCCCTGCACAAAACTTCAATTCTGAGATTCCCCATCCAAACTCTGAGACCTTCCCTATAATATTCCTTGGCTATTCAAAGACAATCCCACTCCAACTTCCAGCCTATCCTCGGAGACTCCTGGGCCCCTGCTTTGCTTCCAGAGAAGTTATTACCCTGTTAGATCAGAAACTGTGTCTCGGCCACGGAGATCATTTTCTTTCTTTCTTTCTTTCTTTCTTTCTTTCTTTCTTTCTTTCTTTCTTTCTTTCTTTCTTTCTTTCTCTCAATATTTATTTATTTGGTGCACCCGACTTCATTACAGATGGTTGTGAGCCACCATGTGGTTGCTGGGAATTGAACTCAGGACCTTTGGGATAGCAGGCAATGCTCTTAACTGCTGAGCCATCTCTCCAACCCACGGAGAGCATTTTCTAGCTGGGGCACGACCAATAGACTGCCAATTTAACTTCCCGTATAGGGGACTTGGAAAAGTCCTTTGGGATTGGGCGTTCTGTGGTTCTGCCTGTCCTACCTTATATGAAACTACCCCACTGTCCTGTTCTCCTATCCCCCCCCCCCCCCAGCAGGACAGGACCTGGCTTTCTGCCTTCCTCATTGGGAGGGGCTGTGGTTTGGCTGGTGCTGTGTCTACTCAGGACAATTTCCAGACCGGAGGAAGGTCCTTGTAGTTCCATTTTGTTTTTGTACAAGGAGCGGGCTGATGCTGTGGCCAGATACCTGAACATACTCTTTAGGTCTTTCAAAGGGTTTGTTCATGCTTATCAACTTCAGCTAAACACTTCACCCCCGCAGGCCATGTCCACCAGCTCACCCCTTATAGGGGACAAACAGACCCTTAGGACCCTTTGGTGTGCTCACAGCATCCCCCCAAGATAGATTTAGGGCAGGGTCACATTCACACAGATCAGGAAACCCATAGCTGTCATCCTAGCAATGATGTCTCAGCAGATTTTTTGGGGGGGTCAGGGAACCAGCATGCAGTCTCCCAGGAGACAAAGAGGAGAGAGCTTTAGTGTGTTGAAATAGTTGTCTTAATCCTGGCTCCTCAAAAGACCCCCAAACAAATTTGAGTGCAGGCAGCTTATGGAAAGTAGGAATGGGGTACGCAGAAAGTGATACGGAGTGAGGGAGAGCCAATGCATCCTGTATGAATGAGCAAGGGATGCTGTGGCCATTGGGGGCTCACACCACCTACAAAACATGGATAGCCTGCCTCATGGTTGTCCATGGTAGCACAAGGCAACTAGAACACACAACCATTGCCCCAACCCCCAGCTCCGATGGACAGTTTTCCTTTCTTTTTGGACAGTTTTCATGAGAGCCATGATTGCCCTCCGGTGTGAACCAAGAGACTCCGTATGTGATGGAGAAAGCCCAAGGCTGAAGAAGAGAGAGCTTCAAGATTTGAGGGGGAGGGGCCAGCTGCAGAGTTTCCCCACTGGTGAGATCAGGTGCACAGGGGAATATGGAGCGGGTGCAAGGCTACCACATGTTCTCATGCCACGATGAGAGCTCCTAGGTGAGAGAAAGAGGTCCCATGACAAGAAGCCATGCTGCAGGACAGCTTCTCAGTCAACAGTAAACTCGCGCAATCCAAAAACTAAAATATAAAATATCTTGTGAAGTAACACTCCTACCCACCCATCCACCTTGTGTACCCCCATTCTTCTTAGGGGGCCCTTCACATTCTTCTAGTTTTTCCTTTTGCAAATACAATACCATGTTCTCACTCACCCCCCTACCCCGAACATGCCCATATCCAATATACAACTGGCTTCTTCATCCTTCTGCTGTACCATAGTCTATTGTAGGGACACACTGTTGCCACTTTTTTAAAACCCATATTGCCCGACACATTGTAACAGTTTCAAAATGTCTATAAAACTACAAATTAAGTTATTTCCAATTTTTAGTTCTTGTCCTGTTGTGGTATAGAATGATGTACAGATTACTGTTCATCGGTGAACATGCACGCAGCATACGTGTGCAAGTATATTCGTATGACGAATTCCTAGAAGTGGTATTGATGAGTCAAAGCATAAAGTGCATTTTCACAAGGCTCTGTGGTAGATCCTGTCACAAAAAGCTCCGCAGACCTCTATTAAGCAGTCTGTCGGGCGGAGGTCAAGGCCCTGCACTCCACTGACGAACACATGTCTATTGAGCTGGAAGAAGCAATATTCCAGAACAAGATTTCTCAGCAATGCTTCCTGCCCTCAGCCCCAAAGACACGTCATGATGTCCCTTCCGTCTTCCAATATACAGGAGGGGACACTGTTCTAAAAAAAACAATTCCTTCAAGTCATTTTTCTATGTCTGTGTATCTCTTGTGGAATAGTCAGAAATCAAGCTAAGTTCGAGTCGTTGTTACTGACTATAGACACATTAGTAGGTAAACTCTGTAAGGCCATTGAAATGAAATGTAACTTAGCTCCATGAGTTACTGTGGTTACTTTAGTAGAGGTTCTGGTGTCCCGGCTTCCACCTTTCCCACACCCCACCTGCTTTTCCAGGCTTCTGTAGAATGCCTGGGTTAGACACTGGTGGACTGACTGAATTATGCAGATCTCTGGCTGCCTCTCTGACTTCAGAGGGCAGTGCCAGGTGTCAGTCGGAGGATGAAGAGGTGTCAGATTTTATGGCCATTAATCCTACTTCCTGTCTGTGGTCAAAAGCCCTAGAGACTTTTTTATTTTTTTTTTTTTTTATCAGAGTCTGAGATTGCCATTAAAACTGCTTCAGAAGTTTGGAAATCCCTGGAGGAGGCAGGAGAAGTGTGACGAGTGAGTATACTCCTTGAAGTATGGAGCTGGTCACCAGACTCAAGTCTGAGGTCCAGCTGTGTATGGGCATGCTCACCTGTAGTCCCAGCACTCTGGCAGATTGAGGCCAGAGGATCAGGAGTTCAAGCCCAGGAAAAGCTGGCCTCTTTCTCTGCCCCCTCTTCATAATCCTGCCCCTGAGCAGTGACCCCTTTTCCCCGGGCCGTCTCAGATGTGTGCAAATGCCAATCATCAAGCTTAAGTGTACTTGGACTCGTTTTAGGAGGGAGTGGAAGCCATTTTCGCCGTGAATGACATAAGGTTCTGGGTTAACTTGAATATTAAGAGTATGACCTTGATTTGCATTTCGGAAGAGAAACGAGACCTTTGGTTTGGGTAGAGACAATGATTTGAGGGCACTGTGCTTGCTAGGGAGCTGATCATAGGAAGCGCTGTGGAGAAGGGAGGTGGCCAAGAAAGAGAAGGCGATAAAGCTAGCCCTAAGGTGGAGGACGTAAACCGAGCTCAGACTCCTTGGGAACCGTCACAGCACAGAACAAGACTTCCCTATTCTGTCAGCAGAGGGCGTGATTGAGCCCTTGACCGAGAGCTATGAAGGTGTCAAGTCAAATCCCAAAGCAGCTCAGTCTGCCTATGGCGCAGGTACATCAGAACCTTCTGTTTAGAGAACGCAGAGAGGGCTACAGTAGCCGTTCTTTTCGCTGCTGGGGAAAAGCACCCGACAGAAAGAACCTCTAAGAGGAAAAGACTGAGTTTGGCCCCTGGTTTCAGAGACTCCAGTCCTCAGTCTGCTGATCTCATGTTTCTGGGTTACACGGTAAGGCAGAATACCACGAAAGACATGCACACGGGAGGAAAACTCCGTGGGTCACGGAAACTACAAAACATGAAGTGTGGTCAAGAGGAAGGGACAGGGACAAGATACACGCTGCAAAGGGGTGCTCACAGACCTACTTCCACCACCCGGACCCCACCTCCTAGGAATGCCATCACAGTGTGAACCAATCAGCGTATTAGTTCACGCGTGAGGTCATAGTCTTCAAGAGCCAACACAATCCCAAAGCTCCACCTCTGAACACTGCTGCCCCTGGAGACTAAGCCTTCTATACATGAGGGTTTTTGTGGTGACACTTCGTGACCCGGCAGCTGGGAGACGAACACCGCAATGTCCAGGGTGAGCTGTCTCTGTGCCGCAGCGGGGGAGGGGGTGCGACACCTGAGGGCACCTGGCATTGCTTTGCATGGTCATGTTATAACTTCCTAGCTGGTCTTTTTGTGTCTGTGACCTTCAGTGACATCTGAACGTTTTGTTCTTATGGCAAAGGCAGAGGTGCCCGAGGAAACGAGCTCAGAGGTGAGTCTCCATTTCGTCGCATTTGCTTATACTTCATAGGATGAAGCACTTGTTGAGAGTCAAGGGTTGGGAAGGCCAACGTGCCCTCCACGGGAGAGCATCACAAAGCTCCATCGCAAGAGGCCCGAAACAGGGAGAAGTGAAAAATTGGACCGAATGATGCAACCCATCACACTTGCCTCCCTGACCCTGAATCCAGAACTGCTTTTGGATGTGACGTCACTTCTGCAATCATTTGGTGTCTCATTGTCTCTTTTTCTACTTAATTTGCCCTAAGGTGGATTCTGACGTTTGCTGTCATTGAACTTAACAGAACCAGGAAATTGTGTGTGTGTGTGTGTGTGTGTGTGTGTGTGTGTGTGTGTGTGTGATGTGTGGTGTGTGGTGTGTATGAGAGAGAGGGGGAGGGAGGGAGGGAACAGCTAAGAAAGA